TGTTGCGTGTGCGGCTGCGGCTGCTGATGGCCGCGTGAGAGTGAGTGTGAGAGAGCCGTGCACCGCCCGCACACACACTCTTCCTTCTCTGTGTGTGTGTGTCCCCTTGCATGGACTCTCGCCTTCAACTCACCCCACGAGGCACACACAATAATGTGCCCATTGTATATATGCATGCACACCCATGCAGGCCCGTTGGTGCTCTCTTTTGCACGACACGCACCGCTGCCGTCCTGCCTGGCTGCATGGGCGGAGCACCGTAACTGTTTTTGTGTTTCCGTTGCATTGAGTGGGCGACCTCTCTCTCTCTCTCCCTGTGTGTGTGTGTTTTGCTTTACGGGAGCAATGAGAGTGTGTGCGCTGGTCGTCACACGCCTCGGCTTCCCGTCACGTGTGTGTTTTGAATCTCTGCTTGTGTTGTGGTTGAATGGACGTATTTTCATTAACCATCATTTTTTTTCTTGTGTGGTGACGTTTGCGTTTCATTTTTCTTTTCAATCATTCAGTCTTTGTTGCCTCAGCAAGCCAAGAAATACTTTTCCAACAGTCACGCCGATGGTTCAGTGGCTCCTCGCCTCACCGTGCCCTGCAGCGCTGCCATTGCTGCTCATGATGTTGACTTTGATGTGTTGTTCCAGCGGGTGCTTTGCTGCCAGTCTGACGTACCATTGCACCTTTGACAAAGTGATGCGTGTCGACAGGACGAATTCGATGCCGGTGGTGATGAAAAACGTGCCTTTGGGAACGGGAAGTACGTCGCAGACATACACCGTCATCGGGAGGAATGGATGGGCACCCATCCGCATCAATGTGTCCACAAATGACCTGTATAATAACAGGATGTATTGCAGCTCAGATCGTTCTTATGTGAAAAATTTATTGACAGACTATTACGAGTGCGAGGGCAATGCTTTTTCCTTTAATAAGAGGAAAATCCTCATCGACAATGTTGTCCCTGCAGCTGTCAAACTGCATGCGGATCGTCTGCTTGTCCAGCCACTGGAGGGTCCGTTGGTTGTGCCCCAATTTGCCGCGGGCAGTGTTTGCAGTCGTTTCACTGTGCCTTCTGAGCATCATACCAAGGGCGTTGCCAATTCTGACATGGTGCTGTACGTGGCTGCAGCGCCGGGTGGTGTGTGGGCACTGCCGTGCGCCACGCTGGAGGATGGCCGTCCAGTCGTTGGCGTCATGAACATTGCCCCGGCCGTTTTATTCCACGGACGCCTCGCCACCCGCATCGCCGCGCACCTGATGGCCCATGCTCTCGGGTTCGCACACCCGCACATGGCCAGCCGCAGCATGGTGAGGAATGTTACCGGCGTGCGTGGCAGGGCGCTGTCGGTGGTGGTGAACTCGACGAATGCCGCGATGGCTGCGAGGGAGCACTACGACTGCGATGACATTTACGGCATGGAGCTACAAGATCAAAATGGTGACGGGACTACGCTGGAGTCGCACTGGTCACAGCGCCACGCGAAGGATGAGTTGATGGCACCGATTGGGGGCGCCGGTTACTACACGGAGCTGACGCTGGCTGCATTTGCTGACCTGGGCTACTTCAAGGTGAACTGGGATATGGCGGAGCCGATGGGTTGGGGCAAGAAGTCGGGCTGCGAGCTGCTGCAGAAGAGGTGCTCCGAACTGAACCTGAGTAAATATTCCCACATGTTCTGCAACATAAACGATGGTGTCAAACGCTGCGCGTCGGATCGGTATTCCAGTGGTTGGTGTCATCGGAGTATCATTGAATTTTCAAAACAGCCCCCGATGGACAGTTGCCCCATCATTGATCCCGCGATGGACGTGAGGGACCTTGAGGCTGTTTTTGAGAAGGGAGAATATTTGTCTGCGAGGCCCGGGGATAAGCCCTCTTCGTGGTGTCTGGACACGCTTCCCACCAACACGACAGATGCGAGGGACCCGGAGTATACGTATCTGAGTGCTGCCATGCATGCGGAACTGAAGTGTCTTGGCATGCAGGTGCATCTGGAAGTGACTGAAAAGCGTAACGTCGATTGGCTCCCATGCACAGAAGAGGAGACGATTACGTGGGACATACCACCCTACAATAAGGAAAACGTCATTTGTCCTGAGTACGCGGAGGTGTGCACGATATCCGCCACCGGCGGCAGTGTCATTCCCGTGGTTTCATGGGACGACGAGGAGAGGGTGTGGAACAGGAAGGTACGCCCGGAATTCTTGGGACAAAGTTCACCAGAGGCGCCCGTCCCTGTTGCAGAGAGTATTGGGTCCGGTCGTGGCACCGAATCGGAGAATGTTGACTCAGCTGCTTTTCCCTCGAAGCCATTGCCACAGGGAGACGCCGAGGCTGCCGTGGCGCAACATGACCACCAAGCGGGAAGCAATACCAGCACTCCAACAGGCAGTGAGGGGGAAGCAGCACCAGCCGCCTCTGGCGAAAACAACAATTCGCCTACGGCCGCTGTTGCAGGAGCAGGTGAATTTGGGACAACGCACAACGAGGATTTCTTCACTACGGAAGTGGAAAGCCCGATGGGGGAGGAAGAACAATCCGCGCCGGAGGAGGGAGCAAACTCAACAACCCTGCAGTCAAGGGAGACCACTGGAGATGGGGATGCGCAGCCAGTACAAGAGAGCATGGCGCCTCTGGCTGGAAGTGAGGGATTGCTGCCCAAACAAAGCGAGGCCCCTGTTCCAGAAAATAACCACTCCGAATCCGGGAGCGGCGCGAGCCAAGACGACCGCCTCGCCCTTCTCAACGACGCGAAATTGATGCTGCATAATTGGAATGTCGACAGTACTGCGCGTGTGTGCGTGTCTCGGGTGTCGATGCTTCTTCTTCTGGGACTGTGTGGAGCTGTGGCAGTATTGTGAGGCAACGAGTGTGGCATTGCGACTCCCGACGGAGAATACGTGCCGCTTTTCTTGCGGTTTTTGATGTTTTTCTTTAATGTTTTTTTTTCTTTTTTTTGAAAATCTTTTTTCACTTTTTCAGTTTTTCTTGTTTTTTTCTTTCGAATACTCAGTTTCTTTTTTTTTTTATGGTCGTTTGCTACAATCCGTTATGAGTGACGTGTTTCCGACTTTTGTTTCCCCTTTGTTGCCCACTCGCGGTGCCGGCGTCACTGCTGCGCGTCCGGCGGACTGCACAAAACGAGGAGTGGGGGAGCAGGCCGGATGCCGCATGGAATATAAGGGATGTTGTGTGGGCTGGTGGGAGAGTACAATTCCTTTTTTTGTTTTCTTTTTTGTTTGTGCAGGGAATATGTATACGCCCCCGATCTTCTTGTGCTGCATGGCACATGAAAGTCCTGCCGAATCATTTTTTTTTTGTTTAAATATTTTCATTTTTTTTACGTCCCCATTCTTTTTTTTTTGCTTTTGGGGGCAATCACTATGGACGTTTCTTTGCTACTCTTCCCCCTTTCAATTGTTTGTTGCTGCACTCTTCCTGCGAGGGGTGCCGTGTGTTTCCGCCCAACTGCTCCACTCGCACACCCACCGACACGCTCACGAGGAGGGGCCGCGACGAACGGCGCGCTGAGGGAGCCGTGACGTGTGGGCGTGTGACGAGGGCCTGTGGGGCGGAGCACACATTTCTTTCCCTCTTGTTTTGTTTTCTTTGCGGCCAGGGCTGGCAGACACCCGCAGCGCCACACACACAGCCACACCCTGCCGCCGTGTTTTTTTTTTTGCTGCGCTCACTCTCCCGATGGAGAGACGCGACCGCCGTCATTTCTGCGTGCTTCTCTCAGTCCACACACACACGAGTGACTGTGCTCTGCGGGCCGCACTCACGCGCCGATGAGAGGGCTGAGGGGAGCAGCAACACGCAGATGACCCCATGAAATATAAACGATGTGCGGACACACGGAGAGTCGGACGGCTGAACGACATTTAAATATCTTTTAACTTTATTTTAGGACAAAATATATGCAGACAATTTCTGGAGCAACATGGTAGTTAGGTGCTTTTTTTGTATGGTTTTTTTATTGTGTGGGTGTAGCCGTAATAGAGGACCACTTTTTTTCTTTTTTCAATTTTTTTCTTTTAAAGTGTGAGGAGTGGAATGAAGATGAATTTTTTTTTAATTTTAATAATTTTTAATGAATTGCCGCTGCCTTGTCCGCTGTGCAATATCATAAGTTTGAGCAGTCTTTTCTCCTTATTTCTGTCATGCACCTCTGCTGTACATTTTTGTTTCTGCGTCCCTTCACTTGCTCTGCTCCTGCTTTTACTTCTTTGCCTCGTGTGTCTGCAGGCACACACAACCACATGCACGCACAACATACACATTTCATTCGATTTGGATGCTTCTTTTGTAGCGTGTGCTGGCGGTTGCGGGTGGCTGCTGCTTCCTCTGTGGGAATGAAGGGAGGGGAGGAGAGAGGGAGCGCGCACCGCGAGTCACTCTTCCTGCGGGTGTGATGCGCGCGGTGGGCTGCGACTGCTCTGGAGGGCCGCATTCCTTTAGGTGTGCGCTTCTCCGCCGTTGTGCCGTGCGCTTGCACATGTCATTTGTTCTGCGTGTGCGTGCTGGGCATGTGTTTCCGGAGCGTTGGGCGACCACCACCATTCTTTTTTGGCTTGTGTGAGTGGGCACGTGTGGATGAGGGTCAGGGCGCATGGAATGAAGGAATGGCGTGAGGAAAGGGGAATTTGATTTGGATGGTATTTGGACCGGATTCATTTGGCTGCGGTGGGCACATGCACGACGGGTGTGTTTCCGCATAATGAGGGAGGATGCGACAGGACTTTCCGAAGTGGACCGTCAATGCAATTTGGGTTTCATAGCACCGGGGCACAGCGATCTTCCTGCAATGGCTGGTGACGGCCTCTAGTGGACCGGTGTATTTATGCTGCTGCTGCTGCTCGAGGAGGCGTAGAAGTGCGATTTGAGGTGAGCGGCGGAGGGGCCGCACATCCCGCAGTGATGGTCGTCGTTGGCCCACCGGGTGCCTCTGAAGGTTTTGTTGGATGCAACGTCCTTATGCCCGTCTCTGGATGGCGACTCCCTGATGCAGCCAACGAACGGGGCTAGGAGCGACGGTGAGGCAAGCACGTGTGGATGTTCGGAGCGGCCGGCGCACCGCACGCTGAGCGCATGGCACGGTGGGGACCGGACCCAGAAAAGGGACACCGCGTGGGACGTCAATCTTCACTGCAGCGACCGCCACCGAATTCGGATGTGCTCGCACCTTCTGCGGTCCCTCCTCCTCCCTCACTTCTGTGCCGAGGACTGTGCCGCGGGATCCAGCAGCGCGATGTTTGACCGCAGGAACATGGCCCGAACAAATGATTTGTGGGAGGGGATGTGCACTGCGACGAGAAGGAAGAAAATGTTGCGAGACGACCACCACGACAAGACCGGAGTGAAGTTGTGTTTTGTCCGCTTGCGCGAGGGCGGCCTGCCACCTGGTCGGTTGGGAGGATTACTTTTTTTTGCGTCGTTGCGCTCTCTTTTTATTCCGCTGCGTTTTCCTGCGGACCTGCGAAGGGAGATTTGCAAGAATTTACTGCGAGGCGTCCGTGCCGTCGTCGGAAAGGCGGATTCTCCCTGAAAAACGCCACTTTTTGAATTTGTTTTGGGCGGGGAGTTCCTGTCGATTCACTGCGACTTTGTTTTGCGTATTTGATGCGTGTGTTTCCGAGCGGTTCGGTCTGTGCTCCCAGCCCACTCGGATGTGGTGTGCGCGTCGACGTGAAGGTGCCTGCCAGCCGTTTTATTGCCTTCCCCGCTGTGGCTGCCGCCGCTGCCTTCCTCCCTTCCTGAGGTCCTGCGGCTTCTTGACAAGATGTTTTGGAGAAGGCGTTGCCGCTCTTATCGTCCATGTTATTTTGATTCTGCTGTTGTGGTCAGGAGACACTGAACGAGGGGGTTTGCTGCCCTTTTGTTTTGGTTATCCTCTCTGCCTGACGGCCAGTTCTACACAAGCGTGCTCCTCGGCACCTCGGTTGGTGCTGGCGGGTTGCTCACAGTTGTCACTGGCAATCGCATGCGCCAACTCTTCTCTGCTCCCTTTCAGTGTCGCGTTTTTTTAATTAAATGACGAACGCCGTTCTGTCCGGCGTGCCACTTTGATTGGATTGTGTGGGATTGCTCGCCAACGCCATCGGAGAAAGCAGGCCGACTTTTTCACATATTTAATTGCCGTCTTGCGCGCAGGTATTTTTTTCGCATGTTTTGTTGATGTGCACTCAAACAGCGAGGTGTCCGGAACTATGCGTGCGTGGAATTCTTCCTGCCATGTGAACCGCAGGCAGCACCGAGGGACTGTCACTTTAACTCCGCAGAGTTGTTGTGTCTCTTCGAAGGGTTGGCAGGGAAATTCCATGCAGCCTGCTACTGCTGGTGTGTCCCCAAATGTTGTCACTCCATGCGAATAATGTGCTTCAGCGAGTGAGGGTGTTGATTGGGTTTGTGTGCACTCTGGTTCTGTTTGCTATTTTGTGCGGGCACGCAACACTTGAGTGGTGGGAAAATGGAGCGGGGCGATGCATGGCCGCGTCTCGCCCATTGTTCAGTGCATGATGGTGTGGTGCGCATTGTGACTCCGTTTTCCCGTGCGGCAATGGCGGTGGGTGGACGAGATTGTTGACCTGCGGCGTGACGGTGGGATCGTGCCTCCTTTATTTTTGTTTTTTTCCTTTTGTGAAGGTGCACACTTATTTTTTGTGTCGGTGATCGGGCAAACAAACGGACAGAAAACGTGAATAAAACAAATTGAAAAAGGGCGATGATGTGGCAGTGTTGTGGTTGGTTGCACGCCTCGCGTTGCTGCGGGGGCGGTGGTCCTCGGCTGCTTCACCGACAGGCGTTGCAGTGCGGCTGCATGACGCACCGACCGCCCTGCCATGTGAGTGCCACGCCCAACGCCATTGGGACTGCGGGAAGAAACAGCCGCGACTGTCCTTTGGAGCCAGCGGCACCTTCTGGCCGCAGTTTGGCGGTGCGAGTGGGATGCTTCACCGCACGGGTGTTGTGATGGCATCTCGCCGTGGCTCTTGTGATGGTTCCAACGCTGCGGCTCGACGTGTGGCGGGGAGTAGAGTGTGACCGCAGTGGACCATGAGCAGCACCAACATGAGGCTGAGTGATTTTCTTCGGAATTATGTTGGCGGCAGGGCAGCTGTTGATGAAAGACTACAACGTGACGATGGAGATGTTTGTTCAGGAGTCGGATGCTTACGTACAAGACCAGCGGCTTCTTAGAATTATTTTTAATTTAACAGAGTACCAGGTGTAAAAGCTTCATCACGAGGGTGTGTTCTCTCCCGAGCAATGGAGGGACTATGAAAGAAAGTATACGATCACTCCTCTTGCAAGGGGAAAACTAAACGCAGCCCTCACTCAGATACTGACAGAAAGGCTAAGAGGAACGCAAGAAATGAAATTTACCATTTCCACTAATATCGATGAGGTACTGTTTAAAGGAAGAGCTCGCGTCAACTAAATGAGGCTGAACGACTTTCTTACGAGGGAACCGGATGGCAGGGGCGTTGTGGACACCAATCGGGATGTTTTGCTGAAGTAGTTTTTCAGGGACCCCAATAAGTATATCCGTAATAAGGGAGCATTGAAAGAAATACAGGCAACCGGTTCTTATGCGAGGATGGAGAGGAATGTAAGGGAGGAAATGGATTTGGAAGAAGTTGTACGCAAGCTTTACAAAAGTGGTGTCAGCAATCTACTTGGGTGGTCAGAAGCTGCTGCGGAGGTAAAAACAACTGTTCATAACTCACTAAACAATCCTTAGATTCAGCTGCCGAGGAGGCGAGGAACCTAACGACGACGATTGAAGCGATAAAACTGGAGGGATTGTACGAGTCTGTGCACAATGCGAGGTGGAGCCATGTGGTGGAAATTCCCGACGGCGTGGAGCGAAAGAAAACGGGGACGGGAATGGAGGTGGAGAAGGGGAAACCGAAACAGTCATGGACGTACAAGAAAGTTGGCACCATCTTCGAAAAGGATGACGGTGTGCAGCAATCCGGTGAAGCACCTCCCAGGCTGATGGTGCTTACCTCGGACAAGGGATGGCCGTACACGCTGATTGCGCCGCATGGATGTGGTAATGAATTGTGTGTGAACTGCGAGGTGGAGCGAGCGTGGCAGTTCGTCAAGGGCGATCTCACCGAGTGGTTCAGCAATTTTGATTTGACTCTCAATCCTTCACCTTTGCCGCATGTGTTGGTTGGGACGGCCGGGATCGGGAAGTCGATGAATGCCGGCTCGTACCTTCTCTACCAGCTGCTGCACTGCGATGTCGAGAAACTCCCAGGTGGTTCTCCACTGTTTTGGAACCACGATGTACGTGTTTGACAAGAACACCAAAATCGTGACAAGATACGAGGGTAACAAAACATCCAGCAGTGTTTTGGGTGGTTTGTGGCAGCGTGGGGTGAAAGGGTGTATTATCTACGATGTGGAAAGGAAAGGAACGCCGCCCGACGCAGGTTTTGCGCCCTCCACTGGATGGGGCATGATTGTGGTGTCATCGCCAAACCTGGACAACTATGATGAGTGGGAGAAGCAAGCAAAAGCCAGTCGAATCATCATGAATTGCCCCGACGAGATGGATGTGAAGGCGATGTGTGCATGGATCAAACGCGGTCTGGAACCAGATAAGCAAGCGGGATACTGGAAAAAGGTCAAAGAACGCATGGAAAAAGTGGGGCCGATTCCACGTTACATCTTTGATGAGAAAATTTATATTAATCGCCTGGGTGCCGTTAATGGTGCCTTGCTAGCAATCAAAGATACTGATGTTGGAGAGTACTTTACCCTGGGAGGAGAGGAAAAATGGTATTCCAAGGATCCGTCTCACAAACTTGTGAAGATCGTCCGGGTGAGAGAGAAAAGCGCATTTGAGGACTTCGCTAATGCACCTATATGTGAGTATCTTGGGGTTTTAACGTTATCTCGTTTGACAAAGGTGCTGAGTCCGCATGATATTTTTTTCCTCGTATTGGGGATGAAGAAAGTTCTTGAAGCTGGATTCTTGGAAAAGTATTCTTTGAGCGTATTCTTGATTGAGAATTTTGTCACTTCCATAGCGGAGGATCTCAATGAGCTGCCGCCACCATCGCCTTCCGAACCACGGCCCTCGGTGCTAACGTTAAACCCTCATGGTCACCCCACCGAGGCAACTGCAATAAGTAAACTGAAGTCAGTTGGTCGCCAGCAAGAATTAAAGTATCGGGTGCTGTACATACCGGCGGTCCGAAACTTTCCGCTGGTGGACGGCTTTTTCTTCATGGAGTCACCGCGGAAGACGCTGTTTGGGCTGCGGATGACGACGGCGGGTGGGCACCACACCACAGCCAGCACTGTGAGTCTGTTCAATGAACGCCTGGCGACATATTTTAAGGGCTGGAAGAAATTATCCCGAGACATGTCGTGGGAGATTATTTATGTGCAGCACGCAGACAGCACGCCGACGAAAAAATGGCATGAATGCGATGTCGTCAATCCCAACAATGAAACCGACGCTGAAAAAGAGATTGTGGCGTTCTGGGACGGAAAGGTACACCAATACCAGTTTGTGTTAACACGTGATTTTGTAAGTAAAATCCGAGAAATGAGAACACAACAATCTTGGGGGAAAGGGATAGGGAAGAAAGTTAGGGAAATAATTGGGGAACAAAGTGCATTTCGTTCTGGTGAAATATATTGGGAAGTATTTTAACGATTTTTATATGTGTGTGTGCCTACGGGGTCTAGACAGTGAATGCCTTTCTTTTCAGAGAACCGTTGTGATCGGCAGTGCCACACTCACCACACCCTTTTTTCATTTTATTTTATTTTTCCACCAGAGGCGCATCGTCACTAGAGGCTGTTGCGCACTACAGGGGCCGCATAATTTTCCTTTATTTTCATGGGATTTTGTGAGAAGAATGCTTGAGAGGGCGGCTGGCTGCCCAAATAAATTCATATCTCGCGCAAACGAAGATATCTCTTCACAACTTTTTCCTCTTCTACCGCACTGTCTTTTGGGAGACCGCGATTGAGGGAGTCAGGGAGCCGACAGCTGTAAGACGAAATTATTATTGTTTTTTATTTTTTATTTTTTATTTTTTATCTTCACAGCCACCTACTTTGTGATCCCCACCTTGCGGTGTTTTTTTGTGGCTGGAGAAGCCCCAAAGGCCTGCCGCTTCGCGGGGGATAAGTGTTTCTAATTCTAACTGTGCGCAGCAGCCCACGGCAGTGATTGACAGAATGTGTATATATTTTGGGGAAAACATTACGGTGAACTCATTGCCTCTCCATTTACCGCTTTTTTTTCCTGTCCTTTTTGGATGATTTCAGAGTCCGGCCAGCGGCCCAGAAGATTATTAAGTGTTGTTTCCCTCTCGGTCTTTCTCCTCTTTTCTTTCTTTCTGTCTTTGACCCTCCTGTCTGTGCATGCAACAAACACACAGCGCAGCATTCAATGTGATATTCTCCCAGTGGAGGCGAAAGCCGTTTCTGTTCCCACCAAACCACGACGCCTTTCTCGCAGCTCCCGCGACAATGCGGGTAGACGGCAACACGGTGCGGTTGAATTGCCCCCAGCCC